TCTCAACCCTCAACCCTCAACCCTAAACCCTACACTCCGAACCCTGAACCCTAAACCCTCCCCAAAACCCGGAACATCCCACAACCCCTGCCTGCGGCCAGATCCTGTGCTGCCGCCAGTGCGCGTGCAAGGGTCGGATCCTCAGAGCCAGCCCTAAACCCTAAACACCAAACCCTAAACTTAAACCCTAAACCCTAAACCCTAAACTTACACCCTAAAACATCTTAAGATGAGTGAAGATTCTCCAAAAGAAAGCCCTTCAAAAACACAAAGTCCCAAGCCCCAAGCCCCAAGCCCCAACCACTACACCGAAGCTCAAACCCTAAACCCTATCTCTAAACCCCAAACCCTAAACCCCCCAAGCCCCTGAAGCCCTAAAAGGCACCTTGAGCCCTCCTAAACCAGTCTTTGATATATAATATACATGTTAATGACTTTGTGGGCAAGGTCATAAAGTTAGTGGGCAAGGTCATAAAAGTAGAGGGCAAGGTCATACAATTAGCGGGCAAGGTCATAAAATTAGTGGGCAAGGTCCTTGCCCCCCCCCCCCCCACCCTGCCCTCACCCCTTCATTTTCAAAGCCTGAGCAAATGGCCGCCAGGGTTGAAGAGTTTAGGATGTAGGGTTCAAGGAACTTAGGGTTCAGGGCCTAGGGCCTAGGGTTTGGGTTCAGGGCTTAGGGTTCTAAGTTCTAAAGTTAAGGTTCAAGGTTCAGGGACGGGTGCTTAGGGTTATTTAATTTGGGCGAAGAGTGCGGGTTGTTTGTGAAACTTTTATTCTCTTGATGGTGTGCAATTCTGTGGGTGGGTGGGTACTTTTCGGGCGCTTGAAAAGCTGCTAACCTCGTGAAATGCTTGAACCTTCCTAAACCCCAAACCCAAGACTCCTAAGCCCAGGCGCCTTGAGCCTTCAAGGCACCTTGAGCCCTCCGACCCCCGCGCCCTCAGCACTCGGGGGCCCGGCCGCGAGCCACCAAAGGCGAGGGGCCAACTGCCTGCAAAGGGTTTAGGGTTTAGGGTTTAGGGTTTAGGGTTTAGGGTTTAGGGTTTAGGGGTTTAGGGGTTTAGGGTTTAGAGTTTGGGGCTTTAGGGCTTTGGGAGGGGCCCAGCTTCTCAGACTCATCCCCTTAGGCCCTAAACCCTAGTGCTTAGGGCTCAGGGTTTGGGGGGTTTAGGGTTTAGGGTTTAGGGTTTAGGGTTTCGGGTTTAGGGTTTAGGGTTTAAGGCTTCGGGTGTAGGGTTTAAGGTTTCAGGCGCTCTGAACCCCTCATTCCTCAAGGGACGCGAGCTCGCACCCAAAGCGTTTAGGCTCTTAGGGTTTTACGTTTCCCCCTCACAAAGAGGCTCCCTTAATCGCTCTTGCGCACCGAGTCTTCCCTACGTCACACAAGGAGTTCCTCAGAAAAGGGCCCCGGGTCTCAAACTGAAGCTTCAAGCTTTCACAAAAACCCTAAATCCTACGCCTAAACTTACCCTTAGGCTCAAGATAGCCCAAAAACCTTACATAAGGAGGCCTCTGGGCCGAAAAACCCGAAAACTTCATGGTATCTCCCCCCCCCCCCAAACCCTGCCCGGTAACCCGAAAAAACACCACGGACAACACAAGGGGCGAGAGAGAAACCCTCAACCTAAACCCAACCTGAACCCTATAAGCCCTAAAACCTAAACCCGCCAATGAACCACAGGGGGGAGAAGGGCAAACCCGAAACCTTAACCGCTTTAACCCTGAACCGCAAACCCAGCACGAAGCACAGGGGGGAGAGGGGAATAAACCTACCATGACCCCAAACCTTGAACCGTAAACTCTAACCGTGAACCAATGGACCAAGGGGGTCAGAGTGAAAAGCCTGAACTCTACAGCCTAACCCCTAACCCCAAACACAGGGGGGGGGGAGGGGGGGGGGGGGGGGGGGCGAACCCAACACCATGAACCACAGGGGGGGGGGGGGGGGGGATTCGCATGGGGGGGGCGGAGCGGTTATGCTGGCTCATATAATGCCTTTCAACCCTAAACCCTAAACCCTAAACCCTATACCCTATACCCCGATACCCCTATACCCCTATACCCCTAAACCCTCACCCTTGCCTTTGGGAGTCCAGAATCTTCTGCATGCCCTTCTCCGCCTGGCATGCGCTGCAGGCGGCCGGCAGGCCAAAAACTTAAACCCTAAACCCTAAACCCTAAACCCTAAACCCTGAACCCTGAACCCTAAACCCTAAACCCTAACGCTCGAAGGTTCGGTGTTTCAGGGTCTTAGTGGGTCGTAAAGGGTCCCGAAGCGCTAAACCTTTCAGCTGGTTCGTGGTGGTCTGTCCAGTGGGGTGTTTTTGAGTTCTTGTGAGGTTTTAAGGGTTTGGGGCTTTCAAGCTGTGCAGGTCTAGGCTTCTCCAGTGGGGCTTAGTAATTGCTTGAGTCTAAGGATTTAGATTGGCAGTTTGGGGCATAGTAGTTCGAGGGTTTAGGGTCCATTGTTCTTGGTGTGAAGACCCCTGCATGGCTCAGGGAAAACTCCCAACCCCCAAACACCCTGAGCTTAAACTCTTAACCCGAACCATCTGTTTATCTCTTTGGTTGATGTAGTCTGCGACTGTGTGCCTACTCAGAGGAGAGATAAGAGATAAGAGGGACAACGTGCACAGCACACACACATACAGACATCCCCTTGCCTGGTATCCTAGTCACCTAGTCCCGAACCCGCCCGGTTTAGGGAACGGCACGCCCGCCCTACACCTCAACCCCCGAAACCCGCGATGGCCTGGTGCGAGAGGAGATCAAGGTGAAGCCTTTGCCCACCCCTTTGCCCACCGGGGTGCCATGCGACCCCAATGCAGGCTCTGCACCTGTACGCGTGGCTTCTGGTTAAAGAGCGGCAGGCCACTTCGCGCAGCACGCGTCCGCCTGTCCGCCGGAACGCTCTGTGCTGCAGAAACAATAGCACAAGCCAGTGCCACATTCCAGTGCCCTGGGGCCAGACCGGGCCACAGGCACATCCACTGCGGTCACCGTGGCTCAGTGACCAGGTACCTTGTCTGCCACGCGTGTGCGCTGGACTGGCAGTGACGGTGACATCTTCGACTTCATCGCGGCGGAGTCATCGTTAAGTCGATAATAGTTCTAATAACCCAAAAAAGCCTAGTAATCCTAATAACCCCAATAACCCCAATAACCCTAATAACCCTAATAACCTTAATAACTCTAATGACCCGAATAGCCCTAATAACCCTAATAGCCCTAATAACCCTAAAACCCTAAACCCTAAGCCCTAAACCCTAAAACCTAAAACACTAAACCCTAAAAACCCTAAGCCCGAAGCCCAAAACCCTAAACCCTAATAACCCTAACCCTAATAACCCTCGGCCCTAGTAACCCTAATAACCCTAATAACCCTAATAACCCTAATAACCCTAATAACCCAAATAACCCAAATAACCCTAACCCTAATAACCATAAGCCTTAAGCCCTAAACCCTAAAACGCTGATAAACCCTACTAACCCTAAGCCCTGAGCCCTAAGCCCTAGGCCCTAAACCCTAAACCCTAAAACACTAGTTTTGCAAACTCCGCCAAGTAGGCCAAGGAGAGACCGTCTGAAATTCGGTCCAGCATCTTTGACCTCGAGTTAAAGGTTGGGGGCATAGCCCTAAATGGCGAGTGTTTACCGGGGGGCACATTGCCCATATGACAACTAAAGCCTAGGAATTATTGTCGTGTGTCCTGGGGTTGGTTACGGCGAGATCCCCAAAAAGGGCCATAAGTATCTCCCTTTGAACCACAACTGTTTCAGTATGGGGGCCTAACGTACGTTGAATGTGAAATGAGTTTACAGTAAAGTTTGTGGACTCAGACCATGCGGAAGCCACAGCGTTTAAAAACTTAACCCACTAGCCGAAGATGGACAACACTGCGGCCCAGGAGCGCGTTAAGAAATTTTAGGAATTAAGAAGAAGTTATGGCCGGGACCCGCCACACATTTTTAAATCCAGGGTCTCGCCCAAAAAATCCGCCGCAGAGGTAGTAAAATTCTGTCGAGCAAGAGCCGATCTCGTCTTGTGACCTTGAGTCCAAACAGTGCCCTCCGATGCGAAGGGCGCGAAAGACCCGAAAATTTTCGAATTTGTGCTTGGTGCGCGGTGCGCTTGGCGCGCGGACGCGAAAAAACGACAATTTCGAAATTTTCGAATTTTCGAGTTTTCGGATTTTCGCGAAAACGGACGGGCAGCCGATTGTCGGATATTCGAAGTTTTGCGAAAACTGCGCGCGTGCTTCCTTAAGCTTGGGGGACTGGATCTGGTTGACTTAGCCCCCCCCCCAGCCACTACGGCTTTGTAACGCTGCAAGTTTTTTTGGAGTCTTCGCGCGCTCACAACTCCAAAAATGGTAGACCCGACCCCCCCCCCCCCAATTAAAGCCCGGCTTTAACGCCGCGCGTTTTGGAGTCTTCGCGTGCCCAAACCTCCAAAAAATGGCAACGTTCAAGAGCCCAGCAAAGCGGGATAAAGGTGCGTGGGGTTGACACACGTTTGGAGTGACCCCGACAGCGACGAGGCAGATCGACTCGTGTTTCAAGTTCATCAGTCACCAGTGTGGCTAATGGGTCGCAAGTTGCAGACATTAACGGCCAATGTCAAGGTTCATGCATCTACTGTCCTGCCTGTCCAGACATTGACCCACGCAAGTGCCTTCACTATACTGTCTGTCCAGACACCGGTCAAATTATTGTCTGTCCAGACATTAAGTTCCCACGCTTACGCTCTCAAAGGTCTTCTTTTTTCACACAGCGGTTGCGTGCTCCTTCGATCTGGAAGACACTTCGAGGCTGACTCTCAGCGACCCTCAGTTGTCATGAATTTCATCAGTATCATCAGGACTGAGGTCGTGGGTTCTTTTAGGACCGACAGAGGTCTGCTACTTTCTTCAGGCCCCGAAACGCATCGTGACAGGCCTTTCGCACGCAACCCTGGCACCCCATGCTTCTCAAAGGGGAGCTGTGGCAAACGAAGCTCATGCGCTGGCAGTCAGCACAAATTCTAGATAGCTTCTTGCACGTTGCGAAGAAGCTGTCTGTTGCTTCTCCACGCACTGCCAGCTCAGGAGGTGGCTGTCGCGACTTCGCAGGATGTCCGGTGCGAAGAGCGCGCGCCACTCCACCCGTGGGAACATCATGTAGAGGAAGCGCAGCATTGGAGCGGGCACTGCCGCAATAGACATACTTCTCAGCATGTTCGCAGCACTAAGCCCTTGCCGCTCCTCCAGCACTTCTAAGACATGAATGAGCTGGGGTAAGATCATCACAAAACAAAGGGAGTGGTGGCAAGGAGGAGGGCAGTAGGGTCGGTCTCAGCCGCTACTTTTGCTCGACCTAGAGTAGTTGCTCTCGATTGTTGAAGCCTAAAATATGCATTCGGATAACCTCTGTCTTTCTAGTCTAGACTCAGACCGTTTTATATAGGAGCATTTTGCGATCGTGAAGCCATAGTGGAAGCATTCAGACAATGATATCTAATCAATCCAGAGATATTCCATCGCGGAGGTAGCGAAGGCCAGAAGCCCAAAAATATCTTTGAAATCATCGAGAGGTCCATCGTTCTTCCAGGAAATACAAAAAGGCGACCGCCAAGCCGACGCAGTGCTCTCCTGCACTATATGAAGTCCCTGGACAAGCTTCGGCTGCCAGAGTTTCTGGGACACCTTAGCAATGAGACCTCCGAACCTGGGTATAAGGCAACTTTCTTGCCTTTGGAGCGAAGGAGGCCTGCGTCGACACTGCCTCCCTGCGCAGTACCACGGCTGCCAACGCGGCCTAGAGAAGCTTGGCGGGAAGCTGCTGACCACTCAAATATGACTTCGGGAGGTCTGCTACAAGTGCAAAACACGTTTCTCGCCTCGGCCATGCTTCCACTCTTCTGCTTTAGAGGCATGATACACGTAGCGTGCTTATGCACTCGCATGGCTTTATATACTCGAATCAGTATTCGTGATGAAACTGTAGTTCAAAAAGCACGGCGCCCGAGTCAATATGCGCTTTAGAGCTTAAGCCTTCTTAGGGTGTAGCACCTGACTTGAAAGACATATCCAATCACAGGTGTAGTCTGACTGCCGTTGATTGAAAGTTACTGAACCCTCCACAAACAAAGCCGAAACCCCTAACCTGCTACCCAGCACCACCCAAACTCCCGTAACCCCAAGAAATCCAACTAAAAACACAAAAACCCCTCCCCCCACCCACCCCCAAACCCATAACCCTGATCCTAAGCTCTAAGCCCTGCCCTCTGAAACGCCTGAAACACCTACATCCCAAACCCAAAGCCCTAAGCCCTTACGAAGCGACGGGGCCCTAACAGGGAAGCTTGAACTGCGAAGTGAAGGACGATCCTTCACAGAATTCAGGGTCTTAGGGGTTGGGGCTAGGGTTTAGGGGTTTAGGGTTTAGGGGTTTCAGGGATTTAGGGGTTTGGGGGTTTAAGGTTTAGGGTTTAGGGCTAGGTGAGGGGTCTAGCGGGTTTTTGGCCTCAGGGCTCGGTACCCACACTTCCTAAGAATGAGCCAACAGTTGTATAGGGTACTACTTGGGATTCCTACTTTGTGGGGGTTTAGGGGTTAGGATGTAGTGGTTGGGGTTCTGTACAAGCTACAGTGTTGGAGCTGGGCTTTGGTAGATATATGACGGAAGCTCGGCGGTGATGCCCTAAACCCTAAACCCTAAACCCTAAGCCCTAAGCCCTAAGCCCTAAACCCTCTACCCTAGACCCGAACCCTAGTCTCAACTCGAAACCTCTAGAACCACCATGTCAGGGGATTAGGGTTGAGGGTTTAGGGTTCGGGGATAGTTCAGGTCCGGGGAAAGTTTCGAGGAGTTTCGAGGAAAGTTTCGACTTTTGGATAATTTCAAGGGGCGTCGGGTTTACTCATATTAGCTTGACTATGAAGAGTGAGGGGACTTATCACCTAAGTCTGAGAAGCAATGGGCTTGTAAGTTGTAGGAAGGTAGAAGCCAGAGACTCCAATGTCCCTTATTATGGAATGTGCCTTGAATCATGGTAGGATCCCTCATGAGATTTAAGGGTATATTCCTTGGCTAAGGGATATTGGAGTCTTTGGGTACCAAGCACAGACTGCACTTGCGCAGAGTGCGGAGATAGCCAGCTCCTGTGTCCAGTCGCTCCCCGATGCATCAAGAGCCTCGCCAATCCGGTTTGGGGTTTGTAGGGTGTATACCTAAACCCTAAACCCTGAACCTTGAACCCTGAACCCTGAACCCTGAATCCTGAACCCTGAACCCTAGATAGGATTTGAGGTCTACGGTTTCGAGCCACAGAGCTTAGGGCTTTTCATGCGGGAAAAGGGTTTGGGGCACGGGCTTAAGATCCGAAGCTGGGCCTGGAACCCCCAAAAGGGCTTTTTAGGGTTTCGGGTTTATGGTTTATCGGGCTTATTTAAAGAACTACCCACGTTGACCCTGTGTGTCTGTGCTTGCATTGTAGGAGGAATCAAAGAGGGTGCCGCGCTTTTGTTGGAGCTAGGTTTATTCGGGATGCCCTGAACCCTAACCCCCCCCCAACCCCCTCCTGAACTGCACATATCCCTACCCTAACCACCCCCCTTCCCCCCCCCCCCACCCCCCCCCCCCCCCTCGGCCCCCCACCCCACCCCACCCCCCTAAACCCTAAACCCTAAACCCTAAACCCTAAACCCTAAACCCTAAAACCCTAAACCCTAAACCTAAACCCTAAACCCTAACCCCCCCCCCCCCCCCCCAAAAAAAAAAAAAAAAAAACAAAACACAAAAAGGGGGACATAGGGTATGACTGGGTGGGGTGTCCTAGCACTTGAGCACCGAACTCCCAAGCTTACAGCCGATGAACCCTGAACGCCTCAGGGTCTAGGGGTTTAGGGTTTAGGGTTTAGGGTTTAGGGTTTAGGGTTTAGGGTTTAGGGTTTAGGGTTTAGGGTTTCGAGTTTAGGGCGTAGGGCTTGGGGTTGAGTGCTTAGGGTTTAGGGTTTGGGGGTTTGGGGTTTCGGGTTTAGAGGTTACGATTCGGGGTCTAGGGCTTGGGGACTAATTAGAGCCTAAGTGTCTAACGAGACAAGGCCCTAAACCCTAAACCCCAAACCCCAAACCCTAAACCCTAAACCCTAAACCCTATTGGGTTTGCAGAATAAGGAGAACCCGACGAACGGCGTCTAAACCCTGAACATTCCTCAACCCTAGACCCTAAACCCTAAACCCTAGACCCTAATTCAGGGAGCTTAGGGTTCGAACCCTGTAAAACCCTAAGCCCCGAAACCCCGAACCCCAACACAAACCTCTGAACCCCTGAACCCCCTCAACCCCTGAATCGCTACAAGGCATATAGGGTGCAGTCCCCAACTCTCCCATTGCCCTGTACTCTAAACCCGAAGCCCCGAACCCTTCGAACCCCCAAGCGCCGCCGCCTGAACGTCTCGTCCGAGGCAGCAAACTTCTCCACGGCCTGCGCGCCGACAACCTGCCGCGACTTTGGGTTGAGGGGGCTTGGGGCTTAGGGTTTAGGGTCTAGGACATAGGTTTGAAGGTTTTAGGGGGGTTTTGGATGTTTTTGGAACTGACTAGAGGGCTACCCAAAACCTTAGCCGTACCCCTAAGCCTTACATCCAAGTCCCAAAGCCCTGAACCCAACAACCCCTGTGACCACCAAAGCCCCCCCAAGCCTAAGCCCTACCCCGAAACTGTAAACCCTAAACCCTGAACCCTAAACCCTACAATCCCACGCGCCTCCTCGTCCGCCTGCAGCACTTTCATCCTCAGGGCGTGAAAAAAGGGGCCTGAAGAATTAGACTACGGTTCTTCGGGGGTCATATTGACCACAAGAGTTTAGGGTTTAGGGTTTATTATTTGAGTATAACTACAAAGGGACCATCAAGGAATACTGAGGGTTACTATAGCATTACTACAAAGGGACCATAAGGGAACATTGGGGGTATTATAGTATAACTACAAAAGGGCCATAAAAGGAAATATTGGGGGTTGTTATAGTATCATTACAAATGGACCAAAAGGGAATGTTGGGGGTGATTATAGATTATAGTAGAACTACAAAGGGACTTTTAGGGAATATTGAGGGTGATTATAGTACAATTACACAGGGACCATAAGGGAATATTGGGGGGGGGGGGGGTCCTTATAGTATAATTACACAAGGCCATAAGGAAACATTGCGGGTGATTATAGTATAATTGCAGAGGGACCATAAGGGAATATTGGGGGTTCTTATAATCTAATTACAAAGGGACCGTAAGGGAATGAATATTGGGGGGTCCTTATAGCATCATTACAAAGGGACCATAAGGGAATATTATTTGTACTTACTCCGACCCCTGTAGTGGGCAGTGAAGGGGGCGCGGGGGCGCGGGGGGGAGGGGCTGCTGGTCCTGGCCTTTTTCTGGGGAGGGGGGGCGTTTAGGGTTTAGGGTTGAGTTGAGGGTTTCGGGTTTGGGCTTTGGGGTTTAGGGTTTAGGGTTTGGGGTTTGGGGTTTAAGGTTTAGGGTTTAGGGTTTAGGATCACAGCTAGGGTCATAGCCGTGAGCACCATTCAGAGGGCCACACACATGTGTGTGTTACCTTACTGGCCCAAAACCCCATGAAATAAAAGTTGAAACTTTCAGAATAAACCCTAAACCCTAAACCCTAAACCCTAAAACCTACCTTATAAGAGGCCCAAAAGTTGAAAAGTTGGGTTTTGAGCCAGTGTGTTTACGGTAGAGATGGCTTCCCAGGTGCCCAGACTTGGTTGGCTGGGCAGGTCGCCCTCCAAATCGGGGTTTAGGGTTTAGGGTTTAGGGTTTAGGGTTTAGGGTTTAGGGTTTAGGGTTTAGGGTTTAGGGTTTAGGGTTTACGGCTCTAGGCATGCAAAGTTTGCGTGGTAACATGTCCTTCCCTTCAGCACTCGCTGGCTACTGCAGAACCCGAAAATCCCCGAGGCTTGACCACACGGTATGACTTTGTCAAAAAATCTTAAAACACGAGCCCTCAGAGCCTAAACCCTAAACCTGACACCCCGAACTCTGCACCCTAAACCCTAAACCCCAAACCCCAAACCCTAAACCCTATAAACCCCCTGAAGGTCCTAAACAGGGGCTCGACCAGGACGTAGCGCTCCTGCTCCCGGAGCTTGCGGTGCGGGCTTACCGGAGGGTTTAGGGTCTAGGGGTTTAGGGTTTGGGGTTTAGGGTTTGGGGTTTAGGGTCTGGGGTTTAGGGTTTGGGGTTTGGGGTTTAGGGTTGAGGGTTTAGGGTTGAGGGTTTAGGGTTTGGGGTTTAGGGTTTGGGGTCTACCTTGGACCCCTAAGGAGGATTGTACTAGGAGGATTATTAGGACCAAAAGAGACTCGGACACCGGTTGATTAAGGAGCATTGGTTTAGGGTTTAGGGTTTAGGGTTTAGGGTTTAGGGTTTAGGGTTTAGGGTATATAAGGAACCTTCTTGTACTTCAGACATGTCTTCCTTAATTCGAGAGTATTCTAGACCCAAGCGCAACTTAGGAATAACAGGGGTTGGGAACCTAAACCTCCACAAAAAAAGGGGAAGAAGGGCCTGCTCTGGAGGCTAGTGTTGGTGTCTCTGGGTAGGTTAGGGTTCAGGGCTATCGTTGCCTCTCTGGGTGTATGGCAGCGCGCAGAAAAAACGCATGCCGACCCCAGCAAACCCTAAACCCTAAACCCGAAACCCTAAACCCGAAACCCTAAACCCTAAACCCTAAACCCCTACGCTTTCCGACTCTTTGGAACTCCAAAGGCATGACTGGCAAGTTGAGCATGAACACAGAGATTTAAACACGACGTGCAAGACGAATCTGAGCCTTCCCCTAAAACCCTAAACCCTAAACCCTAAACCCTATTCTCTGAATTCGGGCCCCTTTCATGCCCAGAGTCCCTGAATTGTCATACGTGATTCAACAACTACCTTGACTGCACTCAGAAGGGTAGCTATACATTAGAATTTTAGCTGCCTTATGAAGAAACCCAATAAACCCAAGAAGGCTAAAGATCTAAAGTTACGGTAAGGTACCACAAAGCTACTAATACACGGAATCAGACGACGAACCCGTAAAGTAAGTTAAGCATATGGCAAAGAGTTCGGGGGTTCTTAGAGCTTAAGATTGTTTACTGAGTTGGACCCTAAAATTCCCTAGTTTCGCTGCTGAGGGTCTAGGGCCTTCAGGGTTTGGAGGGTAGAGGGTTCAGGGTTTAAGGGCGTGCTGCTGTTTGGGGTCTAGGGGCTTTCAGGGTTTGTAGGCTGTAGGGCTTGGCGCTTAGCAGCCACAGCCGGCCTGCAACGCCAGAAGCTCTTCCAGGACATCATTGGCCTGGCCTCGGCAATGCCAAAAGGATGGAATCAATCTGAGGGTAGCTTCATGGGCCCTTGATATGGTCCCTAACCTCCTTCTAAAGGTTTCTGATGTATGGGCCCTTAATTAAGTACAGGGTATTTTAGGGGTGTATAAGGGGTACCCTTTGAAGGGCCCATAGTAAGGGACCATGAAACTACCCAAAGAACCGAAGCCTCACCAATGGGGCTCTAAAGAATGCCTTCGGGGTTCAGATGCTTGGAGGCCTCCAAAAAGCCCATGACGTTCCAGCTTGTATATGGGTTTAGGGTTTAGGGTGTAGGCCTTAAGTTTAGGGTTTAGGGTTTAGGGAGCAAATCGCTGATGGCGGCAGGAGCCAAAACCCTGAACTCTAACCCTCGGCCCCTCCAAGGCTCAAGACTCTAAGGGCAGTTACATCATCCATTGAAGGAGGGCCCCTTCAGGGTGTCAAGTTCTCAGCCTCATAAACTTCAACCTCTACTATGCAAACAGGTGCCCCTTCTAACCCGTGGGCCCTGAAAAGGGGCTCCTTATAAACCCTAAACCCTAAACCCTAAACCCTAAACCCCTTACATACCCTATGAAACCCAAGGGCCCCCATGCGTCAGAACCCTTTAACGAAGGCACCACACACCCTAAACCCAAAACCCTAAACCCTATACCCTAAACCCAAAACCCTAAACCCTTAGAAAGACCCCAAGCACCTACACACTAGGCCATGAATCGCATCAGCTCAAGACACTGGAGGGCGCTGGATTGATAGGCTTGAGAGTTGTAACTTTTACGAAAGGGTTTAGGGTGGCGGTTTAGGGTTTAGGGTTTAGGGTAGGTTTAGGGAAGCCCTGAACCCTTAAAACCTAGTTGCCTGATAAACCCCCACCCCATGTGCTAGATACCACGAACCCGGACAGGGGTCCAAGTCGCCCTAAAAACCCTAAACCCTAAACCCTAGACCCTAAACCCTAAACCCTAAATGCCATGAACAAGGACGGGGGGCTAAGTCGCTGCAGCGTGTCCTCGGCCGTCTCCTTCACCTCACCGGTGAGATGTGGCGACCTGGTGAAGAGGTTCAGGTTTCGAGGTTTAGGGTTTAAGGGTTTAGGGTTTAGGGCCAGGGTTTTGGGGGTTTTAGAGTTTCAGGTTCGGGGTGTGGGTTTAGGGGTTGAAGGGTTCAGGGCTTCGGGGTTTAGGGTTTAGGGGATTGAAGGGCTCAGGGCTTCGGGGTTTAGGGGTTTAGGGTGTAGGGTAAAGACCACTAAGTACTGTAAGTAGGCCATAAGTGCCATAAGCACACATGTAATTGGGGATGTATGTCCCAAATTAACGTCCAACCCTAAACCCTAAAACCCCGAACCCTAAACCCTAAACCCCAAACCCTGCCAAGGAAGGGGCCGGAGCACCTGTTCCAGGCTGGTGATGTCCTGGCGGCCACAGATATGCCATATTCTTTGTAGGCCCCGAAGCTTTGGGTCTTGGGGGTTTAGGGTTTAGGGTTTGGGGTTTGGGGTTTGGGGTTTGGGGTTTAGGGTGGGCTCGAAACCTACACCCTAAAACCCTAAACCCTGGACCTGCACGGCTGAAAGGGTTGCGGGGGGTTCAGAGTTTAAGGTTGAGGGGTTGTGTTTTGGGGTTTTAGGGCTTAGGGTTCAGGGATTAGGGTTCAGAGTGTGAGGATCAGGGGTTCGGGCTTTGGGGGTTCTACCTAGTTGCTGAGTACCCTGGGTCAAGAAAGGTCAACCTTTCAAGTATGGTAGGATTATATATCCCCCCAAAAGGTTGAAGCCTACCCCACTCAGCTAATAAGTTTCGGGGTTGAGGTTACCCTAAACCCTAAACCCTGAACCCTAAACCCTAAACAATAAACCCTCAACCCTAAACCCTAAACCCTAAACCCTTTGTTTGGAGTTCAGGGTTGGGGGGAGTTTTGGGGTTTCAGGGTCGAGGGGCTCGAGCTTTAGAGTTGAGGGCTTTGGGGGAGTCTGGGGGTTTAGGGTTTAGGGTTTAGGGTTTAGGGTTTCGGGTTTAGGGTTTAGGGTTTCGGGTTTGGCGTTTAGGGTTTAGGGTTTCGGGCTTGAGTACCTTACTGAGTTCCTGCTTATAAGGGGGATCCTACTATTTGGGGGTTCTACGTTAGGGCTAACACCCTAAAACCCTAAAACCCTAAACCCACAAGGATCTCCTCTTGGATCTGCGCCAGGATCTCTGACTGGTCGTCCAACAGGACAGGTGCCTGCAACCATCTCAGCTTTTTGAGGGTTCAGGGTTTAGGGTTTAGGGTTTAGGGTTTCGGGTTCTTGAGATGTATGCCTTCTCAAGACCTAAAAGCCTCAGTGCTAAAAGCCTAAAGCCCAAACCTTGAGCCCTGAACCTGTTTTCGGGAAGAGGGAAGCGTCATAAAGCCGTCACCAGTTAAGGTTGAGGATTGGAGAGACAGAATGCTGGACTTGCAGCCTTAGTTAGGGCCCTTTCTTTAGTTTTTGTTTTGGGGTTTAGGCTTTAGTAGCTACATGGTCGCCGTTGCCGACGAAGGTTTGGGAAGGCCAGGGGCAGTTGTAGCACCTGACTTGGCAGCAAGGGATTGTCCCCACGGATCGACAGGTGGCCTGCCTGGACAACTGGTCTCTCAGCACCCTTGGGCGGGACAGCACTGACAAGAACCAGGGCCCCAATAGAGGCTGGCGGTGCAACCTCGGGTGCCTGGCAGCCAATAGGCAGGGCCAAGCATCTTGAGTACTTTAGCTTTCCTGCCGATTTTGGCAGCCCAGTTGCAAATATTCACCTCCGAAGCAGTGGGGAGGCAGCGGCCCAACTCGATACAGCGCTTCACCGCAACTGCCTCAGGGACGTTGTCGGTTGGCCGCAACTGTTGGAATATCCTGGGAAAAAGTACAGCAGGGACCCTGGCCTTATATTGTACCTACTGATGCTGCTCTTGGTACAAGGGTTAGGTCTGGGCTTTAGGGTTTAGGGTTTGGGGTTTAGGGTTTAGTAGGGCTTATGGTTTTATCATCTGGGCCCTTAAGTAGGGAACCCTTGTATATCCCGTATATAGCTATAAAACCCTAGGGGCCCATACTTCAGAACCCTTTGAAGAAGGCACGGGGCCATGTTAATGGAGCATGCAACTACCCCTAGACGCCAAGCCCCTCCTCAAAACCCTATGAATACCTTACACCCTAAACCTCCTACACCCAGGAGTAACCTAGGAATAAAAAGGGTGCCCCTTTTTGGTTTAAAGGGTTCATAAGGGAACCTGTACCCTAAAAACAGGGAACAAGGGCCTACCTTGGGTTCTGTAGCCTCTTGAGGCTTTGCTGGAAGCATCGCACCCTGCAGCCCCGATAGCTCGTGCAGAGTCTGGACGCAGGTTTTCCGGGGGCTTGCTTGCTTTGCGACTTCAGGAACAACCCTAACCCTAAACCCGGAACCCTAAACCCTAAACCCTAAACCCCAAACCCTAAACCCTAAACCCTAAACCCGAACCCAAAACCCAAACCCTCCAGCCTAAACACTAAAGCCTTTGCTGAACGAATGCGTGGGCTGCCACTCTCAGCTGCCTTCCTTCGTTGGGTCGAAGGTTGCCAGCTTAGGGTTCAGGATTTCGGGTTTAGGGTTTGGGGGGTTGGGGTTTGGGGTTTAGGGTTTAGGGTTTGGGGT